AGAATTTTCCAGAATGCTCTCACAAGGAATTCAACTTAGCAGAATTTGTCTATTGTCAGCACATCTGTACTTTCGGAAAAAAACACAACCGCGCCAAACCGTAATTGCAAACAGTCCCTGATTGGAAGCAGTGAGCTCAAGCGTTTTTTGCGTTTTTCTCGAGACTTTACTGAACCACAACGTCGAATTCGTTTGCGCTCAGACGGGGACAAAAGACCATGGATATACTTGTGGTATTCATGTCTTACTTAATTTTGACATTCGTCGGAAAAATGAAATAATAATTCTCCCTCTTCCAGGTATACTTGTCGCTGACAACAGACCACAAATGTCTTCATACATAGCGAGCGAACGAAATAGGTGAAATGGATGAAGTGGAAGTGCTCAGTGCCGCAGCTTTGTGGTGACTCGGCTGTGTTTGGCGCTTTTGGGTTAATTCGTTCTTACAAGGAATATTTCTTTTCACGATGGCATATGTCCTTTCAATTGTCGTTCATTTTATGAATTGGAGCATGTATGATGTTGTTGGATCTCCTAATTCAATCATAATGTACGAAGTTACTCATTTTCCTATTTCTCACTTGAATAGAGAGTGCGGTCTCCTCAAAACCTCACCACTTCTGGAAGAGTAGGTGCGATGTTATCCGATGTTATCTGATCATGTGTTTCTCTCCAAACTGCCTGTTCCTGACTGATGACAAATTGCTGTTCAAAATATATTTTGTGCAATTGTAATATGGTGTGACCGTATTATAAACAATGTACAGGTTTGACGGATACAGGAATGTTCTAATTATCTGAAGTAAATTGGAAAATATTCTCCATTTTTGTTGGATTTTTGCCCATGGCAATCTCTCTTCCATCGATTGGGCAGTTGGTCGAAATGCTCTGGAAATGGCGCGTGCAGCAGTTGTCGGTGGCGTCATGGCGGCGGCACCTGTCGTCGTCACTATCTGCGCATCATATGGAGCCCATGCGCGATTTCCTAAACCACATTAGTGTACCGTTGCTTGACGCGTTTGCTCGGCATTCTCATGCAGCGTGTAGGCACCGAACTTGCCCTTCCAACAGCCAGGACTCCCCATGTTGTATGGACAGATCTTGCAAGGAATGGATCAAATCATTGTGATCGTAGGCCGATGATCCATCCCACAGCTGTAGTCCATCCAAACGCCAGGCTTGGCCACGACGTCCACATTGGCCCGTACTGCACCATAGGGCCTGGTGGGTTTTCCTCAAAGCTCTGCTTTCGAACCTCATCGTCGACGCTTGCAGAGGTTTCACTACACGATAACGTTGTCCTCAAGTCGCATGTTGTGGTCGAAGGCGACACCACCATTGGTGAAAACACGGCATTGTTCCCCTTTGCGTGCATTGGTGGCCCACCACAAGACAAAAAGCACGTGCCGGGGGGGCACTCGGCCCTTGTGATCGGCAAGAACTGTCTCATTCGGTACATTGATCCTGCGTCGGGCTTCATTCGTCATGGCCTTTTGGTTAGGGAACATGTCACGATTAACTCCGGCACAAGCTTGGGTGCAGGCACAACGCGAGTCGGCGACGAGTGTTGGGTATACTATGACCTCATCGACCACCATCTTCCTGAACCACCTGGCGTTAGATATTGGCTGGGGCCCACATTGGCCACGATAGTCAAGTGGGCTCGCGGGTCGTCTTGTCCAATAACGTAATTCTCCGTCCCTTGAGTTTTTTATTGCTCACTTGCACCAGGTGTGCCTGGCAGGCCACGTGACCATTCAAGACCTGGCGATTGTAGGTGGCCAAGTTGGCATCAAGCAGTTCGTTCACATTGGGAGGTACATGCTTGACTTGTTCCTGTCATACCTGTTCTAACTTGGTGGCATAGTCTAGCCATGATTGGGGGCAAAAGTGCAGTCGATGGCGATGTCCTGCCATTCGGGTGCATTTTCCGGTTCATTTAACGACTTAATCGTTGTTCGGTGTGTAGGTTGGTTAGTGGGAATCGAGCCAAGCTCGTAGGGCTCAACCTGATCGGGCTGCGGCGCTTGCAAGTGCGTTTTGTTAGTTGGCGTTGGCCATGGTGCGACACTGACCTTGTCTAGGCGTCTCGAGCGCATATCAAGGAAATGCTGCAAACCTATCGCTACATTTACAATCTGCACGGGAACCACTTTGCTCCACCACTGCCGTACGGCGTCTCTCGCACCACTCAACACAACTCCCCCTTGTCGTAGGTTGCCACCGCATAGGACGCAAATGGAGCGCGCCGAGGAAGCAAGAGCATGGGCGTCGCCATCAAATGCCATGGTCCAGTCGATGGTGCGTGCGCTGTATGTGTGGCCGTTGGAGCGCGAGCGATGATGTTGCTATTCGTGTAGATTGGCTTTGTCCTGTCGGCATCCACGCGCCACCGATCGGCGCTGTGTCCTGCCGCCACTTAGCGCGGCAATCCATCACAACGATTCAACATGTCCCCACTTGCATGATTCACACTTCAAAATTAGAAAAAAAACTTCCCTTGCTCTGTCTATCGCATGCACCCACTGGATGCTCACTATGCCCACCGTTTCGGTGGCAATGGCCAGACGATATCGTGTCAGTCCCCCAAAAGTTTTTTCAGCACTTCAAACGTAGTCCACGAGATCGCAACGGACGGAGCGTGGACGCACACACGAGGTCCGACGCCGCGGAAGAATCCGGCGACCCCTTCTTGTTTGTAAATCTGGCCAAATGCGTCGAGAAATCCTCGGTATTGCAAGGTCGGTTTTGTTGCTTTCAACTAGAGTCAGGACGATTGTTGAGACGACCTGGAAAATGGACTCGCGCACATGCAAAAGTCACACAACTAGCCATGCACCACCACACCTTGTCGCACGGTTTGGGGCCACCGACCTCTCTCCCTCCACACGTCAGCGTGCCTTCGAGGGACAGCATCTGCGTCTGCAGTCGCGTCTTGGTCACATCGAGCGGGTTCGTAATGGCCCCGGCCTACCATTCTTTTCCATTGCCAAACACAAAAGTGATCGAGGTTCCGTACCACTGCACCAGCGATCGCCCCAGACAGAACATACGCGCTCACGTTGATGTCGCCGGACGGGTTGAGGAGCTTTTTCATTGTTTCGTTGGTCGACACCATGATCATGCTGGCATTCCAGAGAGTATGAGGACCCAAGGCGCGATCACATCGAGAAAGGTCGTGGTTGTAGGAAGTATACCTGTAAGGTAAGTTCATGAAGAACGTGGTCGGGAAACTGATGTATAGCGATCGCACCCCCTCCGTGCGCAACATCTACAGATCAAAGCACTGAGCCACCCGCGCGATTCCATCTATGGCCAAAGTGACCGTAGTACCGTCTTAATGCAGTTCAGAACGCCAGAGTAATACCCCAATTGCAGGCGCTGCTTGACAACCTGCATCGACAATGACAGAGTGGTCATGGGGTGAGAAACATGCAATAGATTCGTACATCCATAGGGGTCATGACCAAGTCATGCGAAATGGTCGCAATCACGCCCGCAGCCCCTGCGTCCAAGATGAGGACCCCACAATGCATGGAGACGCGGGTGCACCGGATTGAATGGGCGTGTGCTCGGACGAGTCGGCGCCAAATTTCTCTTTGCACGACTCAAACACGGAAAAATATAGAGCATGGGCGGGCAAACTTGCCCCGAGCATCGTGCTGACTCCGCGAAACAGACGCGGCCAGCCGTCTTGCGCAAGGAGTTTGGAGGCTGTTTGAAACGCACCCATATGCACCGCACCGGGATTCAGCGCACATCGTTGGCACTGCATGTGTGTCTACACAGTCACGACGTCATTTGGGGACGTCGTCGTTGTTGGGGTGTCGTGATCGACAGGTTGTACGACTGATATGTAGGACACAATGACTCAAGCGAAGCCGTGGTACCTTGATGGTGTCAATAGGAAAGATGGAGCAGTGCTCAACGACACCCGCCGCGGATCCTGCGATCATGTGGTGTACAAACGAGCCCTTCTCCGGCGTCCACTCCTCCCAGTCCTCGTCAACCTTGAAGCTCATGTGTAGTACCGCCGGGTTCGTGTCCTTTGCACGGCGCTGAGACCTCCACACCGAGGAAGCGGCGCGCCAATCACAAAATAGAATCTTTTTAGCCAATCCAAATGAAGAATCGGGCATGTGCACCGTGCCTTGGACCAATCATATCTTTCGCGTCGCATGCCCGTACGATTCGGGTGAGATGTGAACTAAACAATTTAATTGGAAGTATTTATTCGGCCATATATTTTCCATGTATAAAATACGAAAATCCATCACACCGCATCCCACGCGTCCGCGCGAAGGCCTGCGAACGCTACGAAGGTTTTATACTCCCATCGGCCGTGGATTGGCTATTCATTCGCCAATGAATGATCAAGGAAAATCCCTCGGAAGGATATCCATGCGACACTGGCCAATGCGAAGCGACGCGGACAATTGCAACGAGCCGGTGGCTTGTGTTGGCCTGCCATTAGCCGACTTGGACGGCCTGCCCGCATGGGTGACCACTTGGCCTGCCATGAACGAACTTGGATGGCCACGAGTACCAGCCTCACCCAGCGCCGAAACGCAGGAGGGACTTCCCCCAATTGTTACAGCTTCCAACTTGCCAGCACTTCGTTCAGGTGTCCTGGCTTGTTCGTTCGTCCGGATAGGGTCCCCAAGGATCGACACGTCCTTTGCGAGCGATGGGATGGAGTGAAAGAGCGCGACCTGTGCGACTGGAAGATGTGCTTGTACGGCCATGACGGGAATGTGTTTGGGCGATGTCCGAGCTGGTGCGTACAGTCGTTGGCCATTCCGGGTGCAATGCCGTACGCAGTACCACATTTCAACATTTTGCTGGTTCAAGTCGACGTCGCTGCCATTTCAATTCGATGCCATCATCCAGAAATGTACGTGAGATCTTGTTCATGCTACCGCCCCAGTTGAATCGTCACATGAGGTTACCGCGCACGGTTGACTTTGACTGTGCGCAGTTCCAAGGACGTGGCTGTGCACTGTGATCCGTACGAACTCATGCCCCCTATCGTTGCAAATGGATCCTTCAGCACACTAGACGTGCGTCCCCAAGAAAAAAGTCGACATGCGTTGGATCAGCCTCGAGTGTTCATCTTGGACTACTGTCTAGAGCCAATATTGCGTTATCTGACGCTCGATGTGGTGCATGTGCTCTGACCAGCAGTGCACCCGGTGCCTCCTGCATCCACCACCGTCATCAGTTCCGAGAGAACTCCACTCGATATTTCACCACGTGTGGTTGAAGTATTGCTGCTAGCCAATGTCCCACAAAGGAAAACCTGTTGACACGGCACGGCATGATAGTGTGTGCTGCTGCTTTATTGCATCGGCATACGAAGCGCCATGAAACAACTCAATGGCCACGATGTCGTGAACAGGAAGCGCCGCACTTGCTGGCATAGTCACGGCAATGCATGGTCCAGTGGCGACGCGGCGGCATGGCTATCTATCCAAGTTCCGATGTGGCGCAAGTATTCATGTTGAAATCGCGCGGGCTCCTTGAGCAAATTGTGTTCGCCGTTCTTGATTGTGATCAGCTGCTTGTCCGTCGATGCCGCTGCATCAAAGATTCTACGACGATTCACAAACATCCACTGGGGAGGATGGCAAAACAAGTTACCTTTGGGACCCTTCGTATGCACAAACTCGGTCGCTGTCGCCATGGATCAAGCAAAACGGCCCTTCGATCTTGTGGAGTTGCGTTTGAATGTCCAGCGTCGCTTCGAGCATATTCAAGCCAGTGCCGAGTCGAAGGCAGCCCTTGTAAAATAAAGCATCTGCCTGTTTGGACGTCTCGACCGCCTCTTCGACTTCTTTGCTGTTGGCGCGGGACGACCCGTGCGTTGGAATTGCCGGCAGCTTTGGGAACACCTTCACCAATACTCGGAACACCGCTTCCACAATGGCAGCGGGCCGCACCCCATCGGCTAGCAGCACGGGAGGGGCGTGGAGAACTGAGCCATCGATCAGTCCTTGGCGCGCTCGCAGCAGCGTGTGTAGCAGAATGAGGCCACCCATGGAGCTTCAACCAGGATTAGAGCTGTCGCAACGGGCAAGACGTACATGCCAACAACAAATACCTTCTGGCCTGGAAACTTTGCGCGCGTTGTTTCCAAGAACGCAAGCGTGTCGTCTACATTGTGCGAAAACTTTTCGATATACCCGAATCGCCCGGACGTGCGACCGAACCCGCGGAAATCCAGCGCACCGACCACGTAGCCGCGTTGGAGGAGGTCGTCGAAGAGGGGAGTTAGCCCACCACTATGTGCATAGATTCCATGGAGGCAAATCACAACGCCCTTGGGCACCGTTTGGTTTGGGTAATAGTACTGTGTGTACACACGCACAGGATGCGCTTGCAAGCGACCGGATTCGTACTTGTACGTCGTCCGCAGCGTGACTTCGCCTTCGAGTGGGGGCACTAAAGCGCGTTCCGGGGCGTCTTCGTGGCCAGGACCAAACAAGTGCACGATGACAACAAATGTTACCAAGAGAGCTGCCGCAGCAGCCACGAAGAGCGGCAGCGTCATGATGCCTCTCTGCGAGGTTGATGGGGCCTTGCCCCACGGCAACGATTGTCACAGCACAGCCCACGATTGGCCACTTCCACCCAATCAATTTACGGCAATCCTCGTCGCAAACGAAGATCACTATGGGGGGTAGTCTCTCGTGTACGCTTCCTGGCTGCAAACCTTTGGCCGCCCAGTTATCTGCGGTTTGACCCTTCCGGAAGAGAGCGGCGATTGTGGCCATACACTGGTGCAGTCGTGGGTTGCTGAACTAAATATGCCACGTCGGCATCGACTTGCTTCCTGTGGTGCATTTTACTTTGAGTCCCTTCATTTTCCGGTTAGAATCATTCTGTATCCGGATATGCACCTGGCGACCTTTCACCGTGGTGGGGGAATCAATTCGTACAGCATGGCGATCCGAAAGCTGAAGGCACGAGGCATCGGCCGGTTCGAACTCTTGAGCTGGCTGAATGAGTTTCTAGAGACAGACTACACCAAGGCAAGGTTTACACTGGTGCGGCAGGTCTCAGTTGACCCATTTCGTCCGCGTAGATCGAGCACTTGGCCGACGGCATCGCCTACTGCCAAGTGTTTGACCTGTTGTATCCTGGCAAAGTGCCGCTCCAGCAAGTGAACTTCCACGCTCAGGTTGAGCCAGAGTACGAGCGCAATCTCAAACTTCTCCAGCGGGCCCTCGAGACATGCGGTGTGCACAAGGTTAGTTCGTGGCTCAACTCCACAAATATCATCCAGGTGGCAGGAAATGGCCATCAAGAAACTCGTCCGAGGTGTATTTCAAGAGCATTTTGAGTTTCTGCACTGGGTGCACGACTACGTTCACCGCACCTACCCCGACGCCATGCGCATTGGCAACGCCTACGCACGACGCGAGCAAATCTTCCAGAAATCGGGCGCAGTTCCTGTGAACCTCAACTTGATCCCCACGTTCAGCATGCGCAATGTACGCACCTGCTCAGCTTGCATGGACTTGATCGGTTCTTCACAACACTGCTCAGGGGCTATTTCGCCAGAGCGTCAAGGGAGCTTTGCTCCAGCCCGAAAACTGTAAATTTCCTCGATCATTATGCATTGATGTGTGCCCTTATACACTGACGGGAACAAAGACAAAGGCGGCAGCATGGACCCTGTGGACGCGACAGAAGCCGCGGCACTCGTCGAAGCAGATGTGGATAAAGGCTGCCTCGATGTAGTCGCGTGAGGCACTGTCCAATGCCCTTGTCAAGTGCTCAACTTGCCTTCCACTACATAGGCGCTCATGGACCTATACAGTCGACGCATTGCAACGCGCCACACACTTGATTCGAACTCTCGAGGCGAAACCAACTCCAATCGCCCCAACATCCAGCAAGTCATCGCGAAGACCCAAAACCAAAGCAGGAGGCGTGGAAGCCAAGCACGGACCAGTCGCGGCATCCAAGAAGAAGCAGCAGCGAACTCTCACGTTGCTTCAGTTGCTGGTACAATCTCCACGCCAACACAATCGTTCTCACCGTTGTCCTTGACTAAGAATGCATCGTTGGAGGCAGAATTGCATGGTCGGATCAAAGACTTGGTACACATGGTGTGGCTTCGTGCTTGACCTTGAATGACAGGATGCGCTGCAAGCCGAGGTGTCTGTCATTCTAACTGAGCGCAAGCACTTCTTCGAACTGCTGCGTGAGGTCGAAGTACGTCGAGACAGTCGGTATGGACTGAACAGTGTTGCCACGTTTGTAGATGCTGTGCACAACGCAGACGCATCACCACGACACCTCCAGCGACTTCACCGAGGTGCTGGCGATCCTTGCTTCTCCATTTGACGAACTTCCGGGACCCGAGGAGACTGCTGCAATGCTGACGAGTTGAAAACTTGCCATTGAAGACACACATTCATTAGAAACCAAGGACACCCGACTAACATTCATTAAAACCGACCGGATAATGTGTTAGCAGCGCAGTACCAACACTCTCGCATGCCGATTACGCACGTGTTTTGTCCTATACCGTCAAGTGGCAACATCGCTAGCCCCCGCGACGACTTGATGGCAGGGAATACGCTGTGGGTAGCACTTACTGCTGCCTGCGCCGCCATTGCGCACAGCCAGAACCCAGACGTGGTCGCGAACGCGGCATGCCAAGAAGCCGCCACGCCGTACTTGACAAGCACTCTCGTGCCTGGCCAGTTCGCGTCGTCGTCGTTCTTTGATTGCTTCCGACCGCAGGACCAAATGTTTGAGTACCTCGATGCCTTGGTTGCCCGCACGCCAAACAACACACTGACCAAATTTACGATCTCCAAGACGTTTGTGGGCAGACCTATCCCAGCGTACAAAATTGCCGGTGCGACAGGAGGCCGGTCGACGGTCGTTGTCCTCAGCATGATGCACGCCCGCGAATGGATCACGGGGTCTGCGACTATATATGCGATGGCCACCCTCATTGATGAACTCGTGACGAGAAATAAACCAGTGCGTTGTGCAGTTACTACGAACGAATGGCGCTAACCTTGATATGTGTAGCTGTTGTATGACTGGGTCTTTGTGCCGATCACGAATCTCGATGGGTACGTGGCCACATGGACGACGGAAGAGCGACTTCGGCGAAAGAACGTCAATCCGTTGGGCGAAAGCATTCCGTATGATCCGGTCGCCGACTCGAGTCAGAGCGGAGTAGATCTCAATCGAAATTTCGGCCCCCTGTCCTCGTTCAACCTCGTGCCGACGCCAAAATCTAGCCTTACGTATCCCGGGCCTTCGCCCTACAGCGAACCGGAAACAATGGGCATCCATACGTGGCTCCAGTCGCACTTGGAAGTGGTTGGAGCCATCGACATTCACAGCTACGCCGGGCTTATCCTGACCCCCTTCGCGAGCACATCGGCACCTCCCGACGCTCCGTTCAACGAGAAATTCAATGCGCTGGGTCAAGCCATGCAAGACGCGATCTTCAAGGACACGGGCGTCGTGTACGGCGCTCAACAAGCCAGCAAGCTGTACTTGGCGTATGGCTCGTTTAGCGAGTACTTTTTCAGACAATATGGCAAGCCCAGTATCACATTCGAACTCAAAGGCAAGAGCTTTATCGTACCATCGTCAAGTATCCCCAGCAGCGGCGATCACATCGTGGCTGTCCTTCGTTCGTTCGCGGAAAGCATCCCGGCGTTCCTGGCCAACGTGTCAGTTCCGACACCATCGCCTGCAGACGTAAAGCGTAGCGGCGGACCGAGGGATATCCCTTCGTACGTCATTAGTTTAGTCGTGATTGTAGCAGTGTTTGCCTGCAAATAACATGGCCCTTGAATCGCAGTCATCCATGCACTAGCTCACATGTGAATCTGTTGACCATCGTACGCACAGGACCACAACCTTTGACAGGAGTAGCCGTAGAGTACATGCGCTTAATGTCTATCACGACATCCCTGCTGATGTTGTCGTCGCCACCGTGAGGCACGGCAAGCGCCCCCGCGGTAGTGTTCGATCTCGGTCTTCCTCTTACTCGCTTTTCGTGGTGGCATGTCAAAATTGTTGGAGGATTTCAGTGAAACGGATGTATATTTTGACCGACTGTATGGCGCGCTCTGATTGGTGGAAACCTTTGGTGCAGAATGCGCTCGCCAACTTTTTGCACTCCGAGGGAATCACCAGTCCATCATCATGGGTAGGACGGCGACCCGAATCGTTGCCCCTGTGTGACGCTCACTGAATGCTCTGTAGTTCAAGTCAAGGCCCACGAATTGCGCAACAAGACCAAGTCCGAGCTCCTTGCGGAACTCGACGACTTCCAGCAGGAATTGGCCCAGGTAAGGTGTTCAATCGAGATTTGTGGGCTTTTGATGGTGACAAGACAATCGAGTGCTCAATGGAAATGTACATAGCTCCGTGTCGCCAAGGTGACCGGCGGCGCTGCCTCCAAGCTCGCCAAGATCAAGATTGTCCGACGATCGATCGCGCGCGTGTTGACCGTGTACAACCAAACCCAAAAGGCTCGCCTCCGTGAAAAGTTGGGCCATGGCAAGCACATCCCCGTGGATCTCCGCGAAAAGAAGACCCGCGCCATCCGCCGTGCATTGACCAAGGAAGAAAAGGCGATCAAGACCTTGAAGCAGCAAAAGAAGGAAGCGTACTTCCCCAAGCGTCGATTCGCTGTCAAGGCCTAGGTTAACGCTTCGCTTCGTAGTCCGTGTGGTGGACTCATATGAACACGATGATTGCCTCTACTTCATGTTTCTTGTCAGTGAAATTTGCACTCCCGCCTTTGCTCATGGTGGTCCCATCAGCCAAGATGAATGCAACAGATGTGAAAAACGTGCTAGGGGATAAGCTTGCCGAAGTTTTGCTTGTCGCGATGCCAGCGGATCGATTGAACCAGCCAGCTCAACAGCAGCAGTGCTGATGCACGCCTTGAGATGGGCCGACGTGATCCAACCTACGCCAATCGAGCCATCGACAGTTCGGCCTCAAGCAAAGCATCGATCGCGTACACGACGGCTACAATCTAAGCCTTACTTCAATACGATTTGATTTAACTAATATTCCCCGACCCGCCGACATTCTCTGGACACCTATAGTCCTCTGGCATGGCGTACCGCTGCAGTTTGTTGAATGCAAACTGTTTCTTGCCTGTGTTCTTGAGCGCGTTTTCAATGCGCACCCCCTTGGACCGCATCGCCGCGACGGTCGGGGCAAACTTGTCGATTCCCATCCCATGGTACTTCATCAAGAGCCGGCCTTGCTCCAACGTGACCGACATGGCCGTGCGATCCTTGGCGCTCTTGCAAATCGTGACGCGGCCACCCCCCATTTGGCGGCTCACATCCGAGCTCTTGGTCAAAATGTCCGTGCGCTTCGTCTTGACAAGGCTGTTCGCCGCCTCTTCAATCGACACGCGGAGCGATCCCAAGTATTTATGTACGTCGCCACTATCGTCTCGAGTATTCACGACAACCCCACGCATGCTCTACAAGGATGGATGCGTGACGCCATCGTCAAGCAACTGATGGTGTGGGACTTGGTACCTGTTCCTGGACCCATTGCCCGTACGCTTGGGCGTACGTCTCCAGTTGTAGGAGGTACTTCATATTGATCACGTCCTGGAGCTCCGTCTTGGCTCTCTCCGTGTTGTTGGCGATCGTTTGCATTTCGTTGATGCCTTGTGTGAAGAGCACGGGGCACACAGAGACAAGGCCACCGGCCGCCAACTTTTTGGGCAGGTCAAAGTCGCCGCACTGGACTTGCACCGTCACCGTGTACCGGAACGGACTCGGTTGGGGCATTTCCTGCAACTGAACCTTTTGCACCACGCCATCGTCGCTCACGGACGACACCGTTTTCTTCCGGAACGAAAACCGCGAGTTCGGTTTGTCCTTGGTGTCGACCAGGCGGAACGACACGTTCGAGAGCGCATCGAGTGCGACGGTCATGTCTTCGAGCATTCCAATTTCGTTGCCGTGCGTGCTCAAGAGCGATTCTACCTGAAAGAGGAACCCGATTTCACTCCACTGCACCAGCATCGCCTCGCCAACGTGCGGGTCGGCGTGCTGGACTGCCATCTCGACTTTGCGTACAAAGCACGCCACCAACGCCGTCAGCGCCTGCGAAATGCACACGTCCCGGCGCACTCGAATGTCCCACGACAGGTCGTCCATGTGGCGAGACGGCTCGTCCCACGGCAGATCGGTCATTTCCTGCTTGGCTTCGAGCTTGGCCAGCTTGGACTGGAGCGACATGAGCCCGCCCAGCTTGAATTTGTAGCAATGCGCGGCCATGGCGCCCACCGTCGTAAAGTCGTACGTGTGGACGTCGAGCGACGACCGGAGCTTGGCTTCATTCACGAAAGCGTCTTGCGGCCCGACCAGCATGTCTTCGACGTGCTACGGACAAAACACCATCAGGCGTTCACGGGGTAGCATCATGGACCGTACCAAGTTGACTGGGACAAACTTGAGATCCTCCGTTTTCTTGTCGACACTCGCCTTAAAGTACAGCTTTTGCTTGTCGCGTTGAACGAGAAACTGGACGTTCTTACGGATCTTGGACAGGTACTCCTTGCGTCGCTGGAGTCGATCTTCCAGCCACAGTTTGGTCAAGTTGTAGTCGCCCTCTTCTTGAATCGTTTGCAAAATCTGGTTGTAAAATCCGCCATCGACGCGATCCTTCTTGACACTCAAAAACGTCTGCAAGTCCAACTTGGCCTGGTCGACGTCGTCGGCGCGCTCGACGGCGAGGCACTCGAGGAACTGCCTCGGGATCAAATTGCAGAACCGAGATTCCTTCAAGTCTTCCACGACGAGACCGACGTCGCCGTTTGTCGGTTCGTACTGGAAGAAACGAATGATGTTGCCCATGTTGTGGTGATTCAGAGGCGCTTCCGGGCCGATGCTGTCCATGAGCACGGTCGTCACGTGGAGCTCGGACGACATGAGCATCTTGGCAGCATAGGCACTCGACGGGGCGCGATGCCGACGGCGAGGCATCTGGAGCTCGGGGTGGGTTACTTCCGACTCGTCCGCAGCGCGAACGATGAGGGCCTGGCTGCTCGACGTGGCGTCCATGACCGCCTGAGGAGTGGTGACAAACTCGAGAATCGGGGCAAACACGCTCTCGGTCTCTTCGTCTTCGGCGTGCACGATGAATCGGAGAAGGGTATGCGCGGCAAGCCCCGCGACAGGAACTGACAGCACCGACACGAACGGCACGTTTACCATGCCGAGCGTCGAACTGCGAAACTGAGGATCTTCCATCTCTTGGGACTGGACGCGTTCCGTGCCTTCGACAAACTTCCACTCTTGAACGACGTCGGCGGGGTGCTGGCTCGACAGCGCCGTCGACGACAAGTGGCCGCCACTGGCGCTTGTGGGTACCTTGAGCGTGCAATAATCGAGTGTGATGTAGCACCGCCGTATCAAGCTGCCTTCGGGCACCTTGAGTTTGACGATCACGTGCAGCTTGTTCGCGGAATCTTCGAGGAACGTGGCCGTGCGATTCAGGAACCGGCGATGCGACTGCGTCACATTGTGCGCGTTGAACAGCGTGAGGTCGCCCATGCGGTCGGACCCAGGCGTCGAAATGTCTTGGCTCGGCTTGGTTCCGTTGCCGTCGGCCAAGGACGTCGCGCGTTCGTCGTCTTGATTCGGGGAGTAATGTAGAAACAAGAGCAAGACAGGGGGGCCGCACTGGGGTAGCCACACCGTGAACAAGTACCAGATCGCTGTGGACACGCGCTGTTCGTCGTTGGCGCCGCTGCTTGGAACTCGTTGCGACTTTTTGTAGTTGTCTTCGATTTTCTTGGAAATGATGTACGACGCAATGTATATCACTTCGGAGATGATGTAGACCACGACGGTGCTCGCAATGATGCAATAGAAGATCGTGAGGGCCTTGCGCATCGCGGCTTGCGCTTCGATCGGGAGCGCATCGTCCAGCATGAGTTTTCGCCCCTTGATCATGACAGCCCCACCGAGGGCGATGAGGAACACGGTAAACACAATCAAGCCCAGCGCCAAGAGCATGTAGTACCCGTTCATGGAGCAGACGGCGAGCGAGTCGAGGACGTCGTTGCCGTTGGCGGCGGGGACGGGGGCGCTCAACGACCGTTGCTGCAACGATCCAGTGACCGGGTGGGTGTACACACAGTCGAGTGTGGACGAGAAGATGATGAGGCATGTGAGGAGGCACCCAACGAGGACGGCCAAGATAAACAAGTACCAGTAGAGCGCCGGGGATTTGATTGTAAGCTTTCGGAAGAGTTGGAGGCGCAGCACGGAAGCCCAGTGAAAACACAGCGCGACAATCATGTTGGTACTGAAAAAGTACTGGAGCGCCGTGAGAAACACAAACGTGGACGACGGGTGCACCATCCACAGGAGGTACGCGACAAACCCGCACGCGAGGGACAGCACGACCGAAATCGACACGAGGTCGGTCCAGCACGTCGTCGTCGTGAAGCCGAGACCGTGCTGCTTGACGACCACGAGCGCCACGATCATGCACACGCCAAAGAGGACGGTTGATACCAAGTCATACGGATTGAACGACGAGTCGTAGCGCTGGGGCACGGGACCGGCGAACGGGACGTCCTTGAACTCGGCAAAGTCGCGGCGCTGAGCGTCCTTTACGTACAAACTCACGACTTTGAGCGCATTCAGCATCGATTTCGGGTTGGACACGTTCGTGAAGACGATTGAAAAGTTGGCGTCCTGCGAGATCGGAGCCGTGCCGCGGTAGGTGAAGCTGAGGCCGAACGTTGGGTCGACATCTCTCGCCAGGTCGAACGATGCCTTCGACGTGACACCGCCAGCAGTAATGAAGATGTCGCCCGTGGTCGAGCTGAACGCGAGGTTGAAATTTGTCCGGGCGTTCTCGGACAGCAAAGTCATCACAGCAATCGGCGGAATCGCAGAGGTCGAAATCACGTTGAACGTGATGTTGGTCAACGACCCGAGCGCTGTGGAACTCGATGTGATCGTGGCGCTCAATACACCGGGAACGAAGTTGACCGGGCCGACGACGAAGTCCTTAGGATCGAGCAAGGCCATCCCGGGAATTGCGGTCGCCTTAGGGTTTGAATTCTGGCACTCGGCCGAGACGTTGGTCATGTTGATCGACAACGAGCCTGGGGTTGTATACACCAAGTCAACAACCAGGGGGCTCGTCAAATTGAACAGCGTAAAGGTGGAGGAAGGGGCCTTGGCGAGCGACACGAGATGCGCCTTCGTCAGCGATAAAGTCACGGCCCCTGGAGTCTTTGTCGTGATGCAAAAAACTGGAGACGTCATGGAGGCGGCCAACGTCAGGCTGCACTCGACAGCGGTCCCTGTGGGTGTCCATGGGGTATTTCGTATCGTTGGGGAAATAACATTCACGTATGTGGTGCCCAAACTGCATCCTGGCGAGTTGAGGTTCTCAGGCACGATGCCAACTCTGTTGAGCTCGGCTGGCCAATTCAATGCATTCGTGATCTGTACAGCGCAGTTCGTGCATATGGAGTTCGCAAGGGGCTTCCAGATAAATGACGTCGAGTTCTCTTGCGCGCTGACAACCGCCGCCGTCGCCGCTGTCCATATCAGGGCGACGAGACCTAGTGTCGAACGAATCATCTGCGGACGATCTAGCTGGTGGCGTTTCCGAGCAGCTACACACGAGTGCAACACATAGATGAATGAGTTCATCCACAACAGAAGGGCGGCATCGGGCGGCGGCAACTCACCTATCGCACAGACGAACTTGGGATCTGGCCACACTTTACCTCGGGTTTCTCACCAGAGTCAGCGCAGTGTGGAACGGCGTGGAATTGGGGCAGAGACCCAGTGGACCAATCACAGTGCCCCACGAAAAGCCAGAGAAAAAATTATTATGCGGCATATCCGGATAATGCTCTCACGACACACGACAACATCGTAATGGATCTCAAGCTCAATATAATCATTCAGCTCAATCAAATCAAGACAACATTTTCATTGGAATAAAATGGTTCTCTCAAGCACGAATCCGAGTATAGGTTTGCCCAAGCGCCATAGAAAATTATACTAAATTAAAGTATCGAACTCTAAAACTTCTCGGGTAGTGTTGTCACAGTCCTTGTAATGCGCACGATGTCCGCTGGAGCAGATGGAGGCGCGATCGTTGCGTCGTTGGTGGCGCGGCGTGTCGGCCCTAGCGGACAGAGTGCACGTGGATACAGTCGAGCTATGGACCTCAAGGATTCCACTATGATGGGATCGGTATTCGATATGCTTACCCTCGAACTACCCTCCATCGCAACCTAACAAGAGTGGCAAGCACCTCCGGTACCGGATGGTCAATATAGGCAATTCCTGTCGTGGACCTGCCGCAGAAGGTCAGCCGATCTTCAACAGCACCACCACGAAGATGGGAGCTGTGCAACACGCTCTTGGTATTGCGTAGAGTTGGAACAGACCGCACCCCATTAGGTTGACCTCGGTCATGATGAGAACTTTCGCCGAAAGCGTCCGACGAGGTATTCCGCATGGATTGGCTGAACTCGCTCAAAATCGTTGTGCTCAACACGGCATCAATCCCTCACGCAACTCGAAGTGCCTTACGGTCAACCCGACTATTCCTCGAAGCTGAACCATGCACACATCCACGTCCATTTGGCTCGCATGACACATGCTTCACTGGAGGTACACAAACAATTCAATTACACGCCTGGAAAAAGCGACAACGAGCTCATTCCTACTGCTCGAATCATCTAAACCACAATCTCCGTCGGTTAGTCATGGCACATGCATCTGTTTCTTGGCTTTTGCTGTTTTTGTTTTTTCTGTTTTTGTTGGTCGCTGAGTGTTCCCTGAGTTTAGATTTCGTTGGCTGCAACCCAGTCGCACTTGGTAACAAATCGACCACCTTCTCGGACACGGGACGACGCCACACGGCTGCGGGCAGTGTAGCGAGCCCCACGTTTCCAGTTCCGACGGTATCGCTTTTCTACATAGCGGTGCAACACACGCTTGCGCTCTTCAGATTTGTCCGACTTGCACACCCAGCACTTGTCGGATTCGTGAACGTAGCAGGTGTCATTCGAATCGGCAGAACACATTGATCCTGGAGAAGACGGCGCAGATCCAAATGAGAGAGATCGAGCCAAACAAGTCATGTCGGCTTTAGTGCAAACTGCGTTGACAGACACGCGACCAAAGGACACGTCCATCTTCGGAGGATTGATCATTGGGATACGCGAATCAACCGACTTGAAGATTGAACTTTGAATGCAGCAACGTGGATCGATGGGAGCCAAAAAGCTGTGAGGGGCAGAGTAGACAGGGGAGGGCGGAACGAAGTCGTCATCGTCGCTGTCGTAGTCGGACTCCATTTCTTCGTCATCCTTCGTGTCAGGGTTGACTAAAACGTCTTCTGCTTCGACAAACACTTGCTCCGTCATCAAATCTTCGATCGAGACTTCAGACAAATCAGACACGCTTTCTTCCTGGCTCTTAGCGAGCACATTCATCAAGGCGGCAAACTCATCAATGTCTCGGGCGGTTTCGTCGTCGTCGATACTTGAAAGCAACGAGGTGAAGTCGTCGACGTCTTTGGCAGCGTCTTCGTCGTTGTCAAAATCAAAATCCATGGAGGGTTGGTTAGGGTCTTGGAAGGTAAAACCGTCCACTTCCACACGACGGGATGCTATCATGTGGGGAAACTCGGGGGCCAGCATCGCAGGCAACATCATATTCATAGTCGTGGTCATGATCACAGGTTGGTTGTTGTTTGTCAATTCGTTGGATAGTAAGGGTGAGGGTTCCGTAGATCGGGTTTCCGTGGCAGGAGTCCATCGTTAACGTAAGTGATAGGGGGGGGTCATATCCTCCGTAGCGGCTAGAGCAGCATGTTCATCGGGAGGAGGTTTACTTTACTTGGACTCGCAGCATTTACTCGGACTTCATCTTGGCCGAATAACACTGGGAGGACTGGGTAAGGTAAGGGTAATTGAAAAGTGAGCTGCCCACTCAATGGGTGGCTAGCGCACTCTCTTAAAGAATGTATACAGCGCAAAAGTTCGGAATCTTCCCCAATTTGTCTTGATTTTGGTATTTAATACAAATTTCAAGTTCAGTTCAATGTTGGAGCTTCAACTTCGAACTGCGGTCGCTTGCACTGTCGCATACAGCTTTTGTCCAATCAACGATAGTTGTTTTTCCTAAATGCACTGCGATTGGTTAACGTTTCCCTCGCAGAATGGCCGCACCCTACTTCGAGTTGATGAGTGTTGGTGCACAGGCCAATCACACTTGCGATTGGCTTGGTGTGGAAGTTTGGAGTGATCTAGGTTCTTATTGCGAGGGATGTTGTTGGGATTTTATACTTTAGAACCGCAAGTGGCAGTGCTATTGTGTCCTTGCCACGAGGGAAACGCGGCGGCGTTACGACAAATGGCAACCTCGGACCGACTCGCGCACGGACAAGGGATCGATGGCGGAGGTAGTGAGTACGTAGAAGCAGTCCACACTATTGGCACTAGAGCCCTCCGTGATTCCTCAGCAGCCGACGAGAGAAGGAGGAGCCGGGGGTGGATGATCAAGTAGCTTGACGTGCACACATCCCGTGGTTCGTTGCCAATACGAGCAATTGGTACAGGTGCATTACGCCAACGCCATTTTTGGCACGGGCTGTCGCACGGAAGACTTTGTCCCAAAGCGCGCATGCATTAAACAGTCGAGAATGGCCAGCATGCGCGGAGGATTGCAGCGCCGAGCCCACGCACGCCGGGTGCGTTCAGCTCTTTGTATTCAGGAGATGCTTTACGTGGTGGTTCAATTGACCGAGCCGCTTCTCGTTCCGTTCGACCGCATGAAACCACAGTCGCATGATGCCGCGGTCGCCATGGCAACCGATTTTGCTTGGATGCAAGTCGTTCTCGTTGGTTACAACGCTAAGTATCGACTTCGCGCCACGAGGTCTTGGGCGTAAATGACGCCAATCAACTTGCCCTTCCCCGTCACAAAGAGCTGGGGGGCTTTGTGAACCGAAATGAGCAGAATCACTTTCGACGCAAATGTGTCGCGATGGACGTGGACGTTCTCGGCGTCCAGACTCAACAGTTCGAGGCCCACGAGGTCCACTCGATCATGCTGACGCAATTCCTTGGCTTGGTGGGCTGTCAGACCTGCTACAGCGAGTTGGCCAGTCAAGCCTCGTTGTCTCGTGGGAGTGTCCACCAACGTGTCATTGTCCGACAGAATCGTGCTGGCGGACGCGCGGGCAGTCCGTGGGGACACTGCGAACTCGTGCGGCGTCGGCGCCGTCACCCCTGCCACACAATGGGTCCATACTTGGAGCAGCGCTTCCACTTCGTCTCTATCGACAACACCCTATAACCACATACAACATCAACGACGCCACAACCTCAGCGATGTCGCAATGAGGGGCCATACCAAGAAGATCCTACTCGTCGCATCATCTACGACGGGAAACACATCGACATCGGCGGCGGCCGAGTCGAGCAACGTCGAGAGCGACGCGAGCGATTGATGCCGTGTGATCACGTGCGTCGGGACGGGGTGCATCAGGTCGGACGCGACAAGGGCATACGACGCCTGCCGCGTCAGATCCGGCCACTGTGGCAGGTTCTTGTCGCGAGCAATCGTTTCATACATGTCGAGGGAGACGAAGCCGGCGACGGCCCGTCCGACAAGCACCGACAGGAGCACTGGAATCATGTACGTAAACTGCTGGGTCAGTTCAAACACAATCACGGCAATGCTAAACGTGCCCGTGACACCAGCCGTGAACGACGCGGCACCGACAATGGCATATCCCGCAGGCACAATCACCCAAGAGTCAGGGGCGATGCCCGCGAGAGCTTCGCCAAAGAGTCGGCCGAGCACTGCCCCCAGCGCAAACACGGGCGTGAAGATTCCGTTCGGAATAGCCACTGTCGCCGAGATCGCCGACGCCAAGTACCGGATCACAAACAGGACCGACAGGTTCACGGCCAAGTGGGGCGACCCCCACGACCCATGAAACCTTTCATCTACGACTCACTATGAGCCTCACAAGAACATATTGGGACGTAGGACATACACAGAATGGTTGCGTTGGACGTGGTCAAGTCCGTCGCGAGAAACATGTCGTCGATGAGCGCGCGGTTGGACACGAGCATGCACGACCCAAGAGAGTAATCGGCGACGGCGAGCGCCAGTCCGACGGCAGCGGCGTAGCCAAACGGCTTGGTGCCCCACACGTGTAGATGGCTACAACACGACGCGAGAAATTAGTGTCGTCTCCTCCATCCATAGAGTTTGTGTACCTCCGTCGAAAGTTGTTCACCCACGAGTATGATCGCACAAAGATGCCGGCAAGGACGCCGCACCCGACGGCTAAAAGCAAAAACAGCACCGACTCCAAGCTGTGAAAGTGAAACTCGGCGTCCGTCGTGAACAAACTCACGTTGCGATCATTTCCGCTGAGCATGTTGAGCCACCGAAACATGATCACGCCGACGACCGAGCAAAAGAACGCGCGCCAGTAGTTGCTCGTCATGTAGTATGTCGTCGTGACTTCAATTGAGAAGAGCACACCCCCAATGGGCGTGCCAAAGGCAGCCGTGACGCCGACTGCACATGCAGCTGACAGCGCGTGGTGGGTCAAGTCCGGTGACCGCCGAATGTCCTTGAACAGGTTCAGGCGAAGGAGTTGGTTCGCAATAATGCAACTCAAGTGGACAAACGGCCCTTCCTTTCCAATGGACAGGCCGCTGCCCAAGGCACACGTGAGGCCGATGCACTTGGACACGAGAGCTGGGCCAGACAAATAATGGGGCAAGACAAAGCCGCCCAAGATCGATCGCATTTCTAAATCGATGGATAAGGATATCGTGATGGAAGCTGCGAGGTATACCTGGAATTCCTGATCCCGACGCATTTGGGCAAATAATGAACGTGAGGGTGACCCCCAGTAGCAGGATTAAGATGCGATAGCCCACATATAATAGCACTTGAGCAATCCAATTCCCCCCCAGGTCAGTCACGAGAATGTGCAGTGTTGAAATGCCACCGACGGCAGCGTCCACCAAGAAAGCCAACACGGACGACAGAACACCGAGGACCACCAAAAACACCCACGAGCTTCGAAACAGCGTGTACGTAATGAGGTCGTAGCCATGGCGGCCCTTGGCAGTTGAAGTTGTGGGGACTTGTTGGGCGACAACATCGTTCCATTGCCACTTGGTCTCCTGCGGCACGACAGCGCTTTGGAGGTCTGGTGCGTGAATACTTGACAACGATGGTCGATACGCATCAAACGCCGAGTCGAAGTCGTACAAATGGGACGACGCATTGCGCTGCAGTCGCGACTGCGACCCAGTCGACGCAGGCAAGGCACTGAGCGAGTCTCGGCCGTCACTTAGGCTCGAACCGCGGCGGTTCAGCATGCGCAATTGTATAGCATCACCATCTCCCTCGATGGGTAGCGCGACCACCTCGGCTATCGCAATGGCAGCCGACGATGTGGGCGCATTCTCGCCAACGTTCATGGTTGCAAGATTGGGTTTTGGAGGGGTTATTGTTCGTATCCGGACATCGAAATCGACGGATTGACCGCAGTGGTGTCAACGCAGCATACAAAAATGAAGTCAATTTTGGATATATCACGTCGTGCGGTCGTGGGATTGTACATCAATTTAAAACTTTTCATATGTATCGTTTGAGCTTGAAATCCAATAAAAAACGTTTTAATGCCTAGTCACACATCCTTGGTTCGTCCGTTGTGTGGCAGTTTTGAAGGAACACTGTATCCGGATGGGATTGCCAAGCTCACACGGACAACATCCATCGGGGCCAGCGAGATCTGTGAGGAAGTCACCAGAATGCAATCAACCGTCCGGCGTGGCCACCAGCCAGGTACACGACCTGGCTAGCTTTCGCGCCTACGTGTTGGTTCTTACGACTGGGCGGCGCTCGATTAGCGGTTGAGGACGAAAAGCCGTTCGACCCATGGAATACCCGAAGCCGGAGCAACCAGCTCCGGCTCCATTCCTACAAGACTCCGGCCAAAGAATATGTCGAGGTCAAGATCGGAGGACATCCACTCGACCACAGACACGCCGACTATTCGCTCCCAGCACCAGTTCACACACCCATGAAGGTAGTTCCCAGAGTCACCAGCGGGTTGAACCAATCGACGATCTACGAAGTCCAACACAAGGAACGCATGCAGTACGTAGAAGTCAAAATCGGCGGACACCGATACGATCACAAACGATGCGTGGCCACGGACGAGTTGCTCGTGGGGTTTAACGATCAACTGGCCAGCATCGAGAGCGGGGGCACTGGTTGCTCGTTGTGTTTGCTCGAGTCGCCGCCCCTCGTGCAGCTGTACTGCCGTCACGCCATGTGCTTGTCGTGCTTTGATTTATCAACGCACAATGGTACACGAGTTCTGTGCCAAGTCTGCTTCCAGAAAGTCCCCTTCCTGCCTCCGCATTTGATGACGGAAAAGCACGTCAGCGCATCACCGGGTCAAGGAGACGTCCTTAACGGCCTGGACGTCGACAAGATGACGCTAGCCATGTCGTGTGTTGGCATCGGCTACATGGGTCCCAAAGTTGTGGAGCGCGTCGGCCACGCCCTGCGTGGTATCTCGATGGGTAGTTCAACTGTGGCCCTCGCCTCCGCTGCCGCCGCGTCGTCGTCATCGATCGTGGTCAAGGCGAAAGAACCTGCGGACACGGACGGTGCGCAGAGGTGGAAAAACCGTGTGCAAATGGTGCTGGAGCCATCCAAATTGCTTCGATACGAATACGTCGAGACGCTGGGCAAAGGGAATTTCTCGGAAGTGCTGCTCATGCGAAAACTCCCCTCCACGTGCGTCTATGGGTACAACCGATATGCCGAGTTAATCCGTTGTTCTATTTGTAGGCGGCGTGCCGTCCCCTCCCCCGGCACGTCTGCACACTTATGTGTGTTGAAAGAGAGCGACAAGCTCCAGGAAGCCATGAACGAAGTTAGTCTGCTCGCCAAATTTCAAAACCCACACGTGATTCGACTGCATCAATATTTCATTGAGCAGGTAGCTTTACTCCCGTCCTGCTGGGCACTGACCTGACGGCGCCGCCGCCATAGGTCGGGCATCTGCACTATGCATACTTGGAGCTCGAGTACTGCGATGCCGGCAACCTCGACGAGTATATCGCGTCAAACGTAGGTTCTCGAGCAATGGGTGAATTGGCGGCAGGACTCATCGCACCCAGGGCAAACTCCCCCACGACATGTTTGCACGAGTGATGCTTCAACTGTGTTCGGGTCTGAGCGAAGTCCATCGCCACAAAGTCGTTCACAGAGACCTCAAGCCAGCGAACCTTCTCTTGACCGTATGAATGCACATCCTCGGTGGCAAGCAATGGAAACTGACTGTGGGGTGTAGTCCGACGGGGTGGTCAAGATTTCAGATTTTGGCGTGTCTACGTGCTTGGAAAACGCCCTCGTGACCCGCCATGCCGCCGGGACCATGTCGTTCATGGCCCCAGAAGTGCGCCAGTATTTCCTTGGAGAAACGGTTGAATACGACTGGTCTGCGGACGTTTGGAGCCTCGGTGCGGTGGCAGTCGCATTGCTGACGGGTCAAGCGGAGCCCAAGGTGGCAACTCGACCAGGTATGTCGTGTGTTCGACAACTGTGGCGACGATGTTCTAACGGATGGAGTGTGCAGTGGAAGATGTAGTGGACTCCCTGCGGCGGCAACATGTTCCAGAAAACTTCCTTCGGGTTGTCGAAGGAGCCCTGGCACCCAATCCGAAAGCCCGTGCAACGTTGGCCCAGCTCCAGTCGTGGATCGCCAGTTCGTATTCGAAACTCTAACTTAGTCGACAAACCTTATCTCTGCGCTTGCCCATTTGCTGGTGTCGCATCCAATGTAGGATCCCGACCCAGAGATGCCAATGAAAGCAACATTCCGTGGCCATGCGTGACAACTCAATGTATGCGTCTGCATCGCCATACATGATATGTTCTGTGTGAAAATACCTCAAGTTGGTCCGAAATTCCCCGCCCGAATAACGATGGAAACCCCACACGAATCAAGAATGTAATCGTTGCACAAACCAATCTGTCGGAACGGCTTGGGGTATTGGTGTGGCTAGAGTGCTGCAGCTTCCACGAAGAGGATTCCGTCAATATACGACCGCAAGACAATCAAGGCATTGGACAGGTGGGGGATTCGCGAGGGTGGCCAAAGCAGGCGGCATTGCAACACCAGTGTAGTAGAGAACAGCAAGTGGAGGCAAGCGAGGATGACCAAACGACGGCACTTCTTGATTGCGCTCACCACGCTGGCACAAGATTAGGCGTTGAAAGCATTGATTTTGATTCGAATCGCGACGTAAACAGAAGTGTTTTGCATCCAAGTTTCGCACAGAGTCGACCTTGGACTTTCATTATTCGTGTATGCGATCTCAACAATGACGTTGGGGTTGGGATGGTTTTCTGCAGCCTCCCCACACCGCTCTTCCAACTACCAGACCAGCTGGAACAAGACAAAAATCTAGTTCTTGACCGTGATTTCCTGTACAGCACGTAGCATCAGCAGCGTCGTCAACAGAATATTTCAGGTCAAGATCGTTTCCAGCCATTTGAATTTGCTTGTTGATGTTGGCTGCGATGCGGTCCGCTGTTTTCGAGTAAATGAAGGACGAGATGGTGTAAATGACCACTCGTCCGATTCCCGTTCCATCTGCAAGGGGCTCAGAGACCCATCGTCTCACTCGCCCTTCATTGCGGTTCAGCCATCTTTGGAATCACCCCACGTGATGGCAACACATAGAATGACAGGTCGCCAAGTAGCATCACCACCGTCATCGGTGTTTGGCGCGTTGGTGGGTGGGCCGTTCCAGATGATTTGCATTTCCTTCATGGACACGCGGATAAGATGTCGTTCTCGCAGTGCACTTCGCATCACTGACTCTGTGTCATGTTGCGTGGGTCACGGTGATGGATGGGTGGGGTACTACCGTCGACGTCGATGCGTTGTTTCATCTGCCTCTCCTTTGCATCCATCTCCCTCTTCCAAGGTCTAGATTGAAACGACACGATTCGTAGATTCAAGTTTATTCGAATGGATCACGTCCCAGTTCAGCAGACTCTATAAGTGATCGCTGTGGACTCGGCCGAGCCTCGGGGTAGTTTGGACTCCTACGCCGTGGACCGTTGGTGCAATCTTCTCGCGGGGACAACTGTGACGGAGTAAACAACTGCATGGAGCCTGCATTTTCCAAGAATGACATGATCAGACGCATTCGGATCCTTGCCGTCGAGCAACCTACCCACGAGGAGGCTGTCAGCGTTTCAAGTAGTCGGGAAGGGCTCATGGTCAAGAGGGTCCTCGCAAGTCAATTCTCTGGCGCCAAAGAGGCTGCTCTATCTCGTCGTGTCGTGTGCTTGCGTTAGCAGTGCGCACGGTACTCGCGGTGGTACCCATGTCCGGCCAAGGACATAAAAACTCTCCCCATGTTGTACAACCACGTTTGTCAAGGATTTCGCCAATGTGTCAAGAGCCTCCATACCTTTTGTACTCCAGTACCAAATTGACGCCCCGACACACCCCTCTCCGTTCACACCCTGGGATACCATGAAAAACACTGCCATGGGGTAGTGGCTTCGTGTCGCACCAACCACCGTTCTGGGGCGTGGACGAGCGCTAGCACTCAATTTTCGATTCATCTTCTTGTGGTCGATGGCCAAGTAGGAAGGGAGAAGCTGCCACAGGACTTCGCCACGTCATGAGACATGGCGGAATGTATGTGTTCAACTTGGCGCCAAATTATCCGGATCCGCAAAACTGGTTGGAATTGGCGCGGCATTTTCCATCTTGCTCCATCCATCGATCGTTCCATGGGCCGCGAAGTGCTGTTCGTGAAGAAGCTCACCGCCCACGCGATTGTGCCGTGTCGTGGGTCAAACTTTGCAGCGGGGTTCGACTTGTCCAGCGCCTACGAATGCGTCATTCCTGCGCATGGCAAGGGCCTGGTGAAGACTGACATTGCGATTGCAATTCCACCTGGCACGTATGCCCGTGTCGCCCCTCGGTCAGGGTTGTCGTGGAAAAACCATTTGGATGTCGGCGCAGGCGTGATCGATGAAGATTACCGAGGAAATGTCGGAGTTGTCATGTTCAATCATGCGAACGAAGACTTCCACGTCAAAGCAGGGGATCGCATTGCCCAGTTGATCCTTGAACGAATTGTCACCCATGCAACCGTGGAAGAAGTCGAAGAACTGAGCGAAACTGAACGAGGCGAAGGAGGATTTGGCTCGACTGGCGTCGCCAAGAAATTCAAATACGACGAAGAGAGCAACAAAACTGTTTGTACAATGGACGATGACTGCAAGGACTCCACGCCCGCGTCGTCCAACCCCAATTCAACGACGATTATCGCAGCCATTGCCGCCGTAGAATCATCGCTGGACGAAGTACAACGCAAGAAAGTGAAAGGTATCATCGTACAGGCTGACGCGCGCAAGTACGATATCCTGCTCCAAGCCAGTGCACATTTCTTGGCATCGGGCAACAAGGACAGCTTTCTTGAATGGCTGCACGCATTGCTGTAACATGATCAATATGTACACGTGTTCATCCAATGCTCTTGAACTCGGCATCCATGAAACGACAACAATGCGAGTTACAACAGTCGCATCGCCCATCTTCCTCGTGCTCGAGCGAATGGAGAGCCCTCAACGCTGTTTGTTCGTACATGACGTGATCTTTACTGTGGTCACGTTGGGAAATCCATCTGACCGATTTTTTGCCCTAGGAGAGCGGCCTCATGGAAAGCAGTCAAGCGGGAATCGATGGGAAAGGGGCAGCAAACCTCTGGGAGTTCAATCCCACCGTTGGAAAGTAGGCCGACGGCGATAACTCAACCAAACGCCCCATTCTTCGCACCAACGGCTCGTTGCACGGATGGGGCGAAGAGGGGGCGCCGTGCTGGTCGTCGCCTGGATGACGGTGCGCGACTCGATGGGAGTCGACTTGGGCCAGCCAACGTTCCCCACCAAGTCGGGGGTTGGGACGTGGGTCGATGTTGACACGCCAGCGCATGCCCTACGCAAGAAATCGTCTCGGGGCGACGAGTGGACCCTCGTCATGAGCGATGAGTTCAACCGGGACGGTCGGTCGTTTGTTGCTGGACAAGATCACTTATGGACGGCATTGAATATTCCCGATGGCGTGAACGATGCCGTCGGGTGGTACAATTCGTCCAATGTGTTTACGCTCAACGGGCGCCTCGTGATCCGCGTCGACGAAGGGCCGAGGAACGCCACGTACTTTAACCAGTGGCTCGAGACACCCGCGATGGAAACGCGCACGATGGTACAGTCGTGCCATCGAACAACATGTCACTCCCTTGTTGTAGCACTACACGGGGGGCATGGTGCAGTCGTGGAACAAGTTTTGCATCCAAGGGGGGCTCATCGAAGTCTCGGTCAAGCTGCCCGGGGCGGTCGACGCCAAGTCTTGGAATCCTCATGTTCGCAAGAGACTCCAGGCCACCGACCCGATCACGGACGTTCGGTTCTACCCCACATGGCCGGGGGTATGGCTCATGGGGAACTTGGGCCGCGCCCTCTTTTCTGGCTCCACGACGCGGATGTGGCCGTGGAGCTACAACGAATGCGACGCCACGTTAGCGCCACACCAGGCGATCAATGCGTGCAATGCAACCCCTGGTTACGGACTGAATCCGTACCAAGGACGAGGCGCCCCGGAACTTGACGTCTTGGAAGGTGGCGGCAAAGGCATCTCGACGTCGCTGCAGGTGGCCCCTGGTATGCCCGAACCGTATCGCACACTGTCCCCGATCACGATGGCGCCGTACTACGACACGTGGTTTTGTTACTACGTCAAGACGTGCCGCACTCCCGGCGCCAACATCCCGGACGCCCCCACGAGTGCATATGCCCATCGACCGTATAAAACGTGGTACCAAAACCTCCGCTACGCTGCAAACCACCGGTGTCCATCCAAGTCGTTCCTCATGCAATCGGTGGACGAGGTAGGTACGCCAGTGAGATCGCCGTGTCTAACGATCATCATCTCTTGGACAGGTCGTCGGCGCCCGTGGCAACATCACGTCCAACACGTTTGACAAGACACAAATGAGCGCGAGCGAAGACGTCCATGCCGACTTGGGCTTGATGGACGAGGCCGGCCACCGGTGGGGCATCAACTCGAACGGGTCGATGTGCTTTGCGTTTTTGAACGGGTACACGGGGACATTTCTGTGCGACCCAGACAGTTCCAACCCGAAATGCGCGTCGCCCCGTCGGCCAGGCGTCGGCCCGACAAACCAAATGGACCCGTTTGCATACCAAATGGATGCGATCTCGGCAAATTGGAACATCAACTTTGAAGCGTACACGAGGTTGAACCAATACTCGTTAGAGTGGTGCGGGCCATGATGCGTCTCGATCGAGCTCTTGACTCTTGTCTGCGGCAGGGTGGCGGGGCCCGACGGCTACGCTCGATGGATGCTCGACGACAACCCACTCTTCGAAGTCCCGGCCGCATCGCTCGTGAACGTTCCTCAAGGCGGCCCGATTCGAAACCCGACCAAATTGATGGTCGAAGAGCCGCTGTACTTGATTTTCAACATTGCTGTCGCCAAGTCGTGGGGTACGACGAGTGCTGCAGTGGATCGCATCGTGTGGATGCTTTTTGCGACGCTAGGTGCCCAACCTCCCAATGTCAACATTGGACCGTGTCGAGGCAATGCAACGCACCCCCCCAAGTACTCTGCGGCGTGGAATCTATCCAACAACATTTGCAATTCGTTCCCGATGTACATGGAGATCGATTTCATCCGAATTTACCAAGACGAATCGCGCATGTCGGTGGGGTGCGACCCCCCCAGTCACCCCACAAAGGAATGGATTGCTGGCCACATGGACCAGTACACAGACGACAAGAACCCAGACATACCCGTCGCAGGGCGGGCAACATGTCGTACAGATGCCGACTGCACTACAACCGGGATGGCCGCGACGGGACTCTGCCGACGGGGCCGATGCAAATGCCTTCAAAACTATGGCGGTACGGTCCAAGAAGGCGGACGACTGGCACATTTTGCTCACTGAACGACGCAGGTCCACGCTGCACCAAGTTTTGCCCAGGGCCGCTTCGTGGACCCACAAGAGTGCATGGCTTGATCCTGGTGGGGTCGTGTGTCGCAGTGCTTACAGTCACGTGCGTGCTGCGGGTGAGTCGATTGCGCCTTGCCAACCTCGACGCCCATCACCGGCGAGTGCTGGGCCTGAGTGCAGCTGAAGATGACATGGACAGTTGCGACGAGGACGATGAAAATATGGACGACGACCACCAAGAAAAGTCGCATCACTTCTGACTTCGTCGCGTCATTTCAACGTGCGATCCAATGCACACTAGAGAAGTCTTTCAATGCATATGCGATGGATCGATTCCTCGTTTGATGTAGACCATGTACGCCAAGTGCTGCGAGATGCCGCGTTTGTGCCGCCCTTGATGTCGAATCTGCTCCTTCCACATCCCCTGGCGCAAGAACGACTCGACAAAGCTGACAAGGTCGCTAAAAATTGTCGTGCCGTCGCCGACTTCATGCGGCGGCACAATCGAATACGAACAAGCATCAGGACAAATCCACTGCTTTCCCAACGATTACCGATGGAAGGTGGTAGTTGTGTTGGAACACGGGGCCATGCACGGACGCATCGGCCACGAACGACACGCACGACGACAGCGGAGTCCCGCAATGTCGGTTGAGAAACGACCACTGGCTAGGTCGTCTCCTTGGTAGGACAACAATTGACCGGGCGGTAGACAGGACTGGAGGGTTCAAAGTCATATAGTACACCCCGATATACAGTGAGAACGCGCTCGGCTCTACATGGCCTACGTGCTGCCGGTGCTCTGTACAATTGTGGCACATGGGCTCTGACTCCGACGCTGCTCGATGGCGTCGAAGCCTTCCACCGCCGCCAACTTCGGCTGCTGCTCGGCATCTTCTACCTGCACCGAATTCTCGAAGCCGACTTGTACGCTCTCGGCCACACCGAGCTGCTCCGCGGCCTCGTCACGCGCCATCGGTGGCATCTGTTTGGACACGTCCTCCGCGCCTCCACCGACACCCCAGCACAAGCTGCCATGACCTCCTACTTTGCACCGTCCAACGAAGCCAAGTACGCAGTCAGCACCAAGACGGCGCTGTCAGTGGTGCTCCACCGCGACCTCCAATTCGTCGGTCGGTCACTGCTCACCACCGAAGCCCTCGACGTCATCTGCACCACGGCCCAAGATCGAGGCGTGTGGAAATGCCTGACCGAGAACACGACGACGAGCCTCGACCACCGATCGCCCCAGGATCCGCTGACACGGATATGAATGTAGACGATGTAGGCCACCGCCCGACCAAGAACCCGCACCGCCGCTGGATTGACGCCCTCACAGAGGAATTGGCTGCTATGCGTCTGTAAGGAGAAAGATATTGCCAGCCTCGTATTTACGAAATCTGTACCCGTAAAGGTTAAGATAACGCGAAACACGTTCATAATAATACAGTCAGAAACGACCCCTTGTCGGGACCGGAGCTTGTTTATCACCACGTTTTTTCGAATTTCGGAAGAGTTGGGGATGGGGAAGGTCCGTGGTTCGATGCCATGTGCAAATTATAGTTTTCAAACAAGACAATTCAGGAATGTGAGCTTTTGGACCAACTGGCACTCGTGCTCTGCGCAAGGGCCAATGCGGTGTATGGACGAGCGACTGCGTACCCTTCCGGCGTCTCGCGGCACGCTGGCGATGCCGATATGATGTGCAACTGACGGTAGCGCCACCACATGGTGGTTCTCGCATGAAGGCACGGAACTGGACAATGCCAGGCGCTTCCTTGGAGGTGCAGGGCACTCCCGTACGAAAGCAATTGGGCCGAGATTATTGGCGTTGTCGCGCCAGTGGCTTCACACGCCAACGGATGCTGTCGCCACCTGAGTGCAATCCGACGCACCTCTTTCGAGGGAAAGGTTGCTCTTGCACCACGATGAGGTCGTTGGATAAATCTCTTCTTGCGAGGTCGCCTCGTTGTGATGTTCTCAACTGTATCGCCAGTCGAAAGCCAGCGCCAAATAAACTTGACAAGATGCCGCGTGACCGGCCAACCACTCGGAGTCAAAGCATTCTACCAGCAAAAATACCAAATACAGCTCCCATAGATAATACATAATGAAAATGTGCCTCCGAGTCGGTACGCGTTCCTCGTATGCAAGTTTTCACTTGACCGCGATCCTCTTCGCAACGATGTGCATGAAGGAGCATGCCTACCACCGACAATCCACTTCGACCACCGGAACGGGTTATGTCATAGTCGCTACCCTCAACAAGATTTCGAGTTGTCGTGGTGCTTGCTATTCCGCCGATAGCGCTACTAGGATACGGGGCCATGTTTGCCGACCACGACCTCCTTGCCATGTACAGCGAACTGCGGAGCCCTCTGTGCGACCGATTGCTTTGTCCTAGAGATTGCTTTGTCCTAGAGGCTACGTCCTGTTGACATGGTGTCGTCGTGGGTGCAGCATCCTGGTGACCTCACGGATGTTAATGATAAGTTTGAGTTGTTGTGAACGGGAAAGAAGCTGTGGTAGAATCGTTTCCACCACGGCAGAATCGACCTGGATCGGCGATGCAACCGGGCGAAGGCTCCGCGTTGGCTCCAGTCGCGACGCTCAACTGCACCGTTCCCATCCGAGCATATATATATATTTTCGTCACGTAGCTACAAGCTCTTGGCGGCGCGCACATGTGCACCGTCCATACCTACGTCCATGAGTGCTTGCTTCGTTCTTGAAAAACGTCATGAAAGACTCTCGAGATGGTGAACTCACTTGGCGACATCGTCTTGGATCGAAAGGGTGTTGCAACCAGGGTTGGCTTCCCTGGGACGTTAAGTTGCCGCAGCATGCGGTCCAATTCCTTCGTCACTACAGTGTTCGGACACATGTGTCCACCCTCGAGGGACTGCAAAACATACCGCTTTTGGTCTGTTGCTTCCAACCAGTGGCTGGTGGCGCACGCCCTTCGGCGCGCCGTGACAAGGACCAGCACCCAACAACGTGCTCTGGAGGTGAAGTGAGCTCGCTGTGACACTCTCATACGAAGAGGTGAGGGCGTGCCATGCAACCTGCGCTTGCCAGACTGGCGCGTGAAGCCGTGCAGGGAGCAACTGTCGGTGACTCCTACCTCCTTTGCTTCTACGTATCGTGTTTCTGCATGGCTTGGTTTACATGCTTGGACACTGAGTGCCTCACATCTCCTGTCTCGGACTGTACGAGATAAATCACGCCCAAGCATCATTTCGACCTGGGGGCATCGTAGTGAAGAACCGCGCCAGATGCGGCGACGTAACACCCGCGATATCGGCAATACACCACCGGCACGTCGCGAGGAAACGGGCAGCATGCATTGCGACCAGGCCAAATACATCAAAACCAGTCGTCAACAAACCAACGAAAAGTATTCCTTGAGAACCCTCCAGCACGAAATTCCATGGCATGAGTTCTGGGTAGTCATGCCTCGTACACAACAACAAAGGACATTCATTGTTGCGCACGGCAAAGGGTTAGACAGCATAGCTGTTGTCGACGAAGTAGAGGTTGCGGGCAGCCGCGCTGTGTGCGTGTGCAGGTCGTAGGACCAACGAAAACTGTCCTTGGCATTACGTGGCCTTGTCTTTTAGGCGTTGGGCTCGCTCCTGCTTGAACTTGGCTACGTTCACGGCGACCTGGGCTTCAATGCGGTCGTGCATGTCGCGACGGTACCCAAACGGGAGTAGTACTTCGAGAAGCACGAACAATGGGGCAGTGATGATTGCTTGGTCCCAAGAATCGAGCAAAGCCGGTGCACGTTTTTCAAACACGCCATGACCGATAAACTGAATGATCCATGCCGTGACGTGGATGCCCAGCGCCATCCGCCACGGTGACTCGCCCGTGGTCGCGACAGCATGGGATATGTACACGTTCGACCAGATGTACATGGCAACAATGAACGAGGCTGCCAGGGTGCCGGCGTAAGAATCAAGCACGATGTACCACACGACGTAGATCACGGCACCGACGAGGGCGGTGTTGGCGACGACATACGGTTGGAACGGCACGTCGAAGTACGGAGTCGTCGAGCACAAGAGGAAGATGGCCGAGAGGAGGATAGGCCAGATGCAGATCACGTGAAGGAGCTTGTTGATCGGGTTGCTGTGGTATGACAGGTAGAACTCGACCTGCTTCTCCAGGTCAAACTTATCCTTGAACAGCATCGCTTTTGTCCACTCGCGCACGGCACTTCTCAACTGCGCAGCCAACGTCGGCGCGTCCGGATAAATAGCTTCAACCATCCGGATATATGGCTCTCTTTATACTTGAGTTTTGTATTCAACGAGGTCGCCTTCAACCTACCAAGTTTCCAGACTCAATTGAGAGAATATTCCTCCAATGCCAACTGATTTCTATGGCAATGCAAGCGCTCGTACAGCACGTATACGCACGCGCAGCGCCACGCGTGTGTGTTGCGGTGCTTTCGGTTGAAATCGCCCCACAGGAGACTGGACCACCCTGGAATGACTCTTCCTCTTGAACATTCAAAGACGTAGGTTGAGTTTCAGTTTTGAACTAGGCGAAACCGTGGTTCACTGAACCGTAATTGGTTGAACCTCCAAATGATTGGACAACACTAAAATCGCACGAACGAGCATGGATAGCCGCCTGGGGAACCTGGATCAAGCGCTCGGCGCCGTGGAAGAGTACTTGAACGTGCTTACGACCAAGCCAATAGATGAACTTACGGCGGAGCTCGCTCCCATTGACAAGGCCAAGGTGCAAGTTGGTCTAGGTAGGGACTCGCACCAACAACCACGATATCTCAATGGAGTGATGCGCTGACGGCTCGTTGTCATGAATGGATTCAGCTTACTCGATCAATGCACTGCTATATGGTGCGTGCGCAAATGTCCGTGCGGTAAACGAGCTGTTCTCTAACTCGTGGTCATTGCAGTGTTGCTGAAAGTCCAAGGCGTGTCGTCGAAGGACGGCCGACAGACACAGGTGAAGCAGGAGCTCGATCGCGTGAAGGGTTATGTGCAGAAAATCAAGTACTCGGAGGAAATGGGTACGGTCCACTGCAATGCCGTTGCACAGTCGTGCTCATCACGGCGGGCGTAGCCAAGGGACGGAAAACGCGTGTCGACGCCGAAGCTGCCGGCCGGTTCATCAACCACGCGCTGTCATCGGACCAAGTGTACGCCGAGGCAGTTGCCGAGCGGACAGTGGCCACTGAATCACAGCCCAGCGACGAAAAGAAGGCGTCCAAGAAACACAAGGCGCCGACAGCGACCTCGGAGACGAAAGCGACGCCGCCCAAGAAGCGCTCGAGGAAATAAGAAATCTGCTCGCAATGCGTACTTTAACTATCTCCTACCAATCGCATGCTTTGTCACCGGTAGTTGTACAAGCACTTGATGTCCTGCGGAAGCACGAGTTGGCGACACAGCGGGCATTCTGGTTTGTTTTGGCACCATCCAACGATGCACTCCCAGCAAAAGAGGTGCCCGCAAGGAGTCACGGAGGGATGCGTGCGCTCCGCCAGACACAGCACACATTTCTTGACGACTGCATGCGACGAGGACGAAGGCCGTGAGATGTCCATCGACGGAACCCTTTGGCTTCCCCGCAGTGTCGGCGGTTGACTAGTTGACGAACGAGACAGGAGATTCTGGCCCACGATAGCCCGAAAAATGGTTGGGAGGTTGAGAGAGGCGGTTAGGGCGGCTTGGATCAGGATCAAGTTGCCCTGGCAAGAAGCCAATGTTAGTATCGATGAGGATGCAGAGATGTTGCGTACCAATATGGAAAACTGGGCAAACGTGTGGTGCGCAGGTCGGTAGGTCAAGATGTATCGGATGGCTGCCGCGCGCTTGGCAGGATGGAAGTAGTTCCCATGCAGATAAAAGAACGCCAAGTGCAGTTGAATGAGGCCCTGCACCACGCCGTCGAAGCTGACGCCGCAGCGAGCCTCCCATTGCTTGAATTTGTCCTTGACGTACTTGGACCATGCGTCCAGCGTCTTCAAGCATACCCCCAGCGTATTTCCTCGATGGGTCGGGAGTCTCCGCCTAATTCAATTGCGTTAATATCGCCAGGATCCAGAAATGGAGACTAGTCTACCTGTCATCAGTGTTAGGCACTCCATCAGATACTAGTATGTGGTCGTCTTGACGCAATCTCATTTGTTCCCGAGCTCGTGCTCGAGCCGCTTGAAGTCGTTGCTCTTGCTCACCGGGTTGCAGCTGAGACCATCCTAGCGTCGCGCGCTGTTTGACGTATGGCACGATGGTTTGCAGGAATATCCACGCCATGTTGGAAGCGTTCCCAACGACTGTTGGGAAGGCACCGCCATGTTGCACGCGGTAAATTTCACAATATTCTTCTCCCATCGATTGGCTCCCTTCCAACCATGATGTGATGCACTCGCAACAGCACGACGGTCAACCGTACCTGCAAAGATATAGTACACGAGTTTGGACACGAGGGTCAGTTCAGGATCCAGATGCAAACCGCCCACGGAGGAGTCTGATCGGCCCCACAGCTTGAGCTTCTCCACGACGTCGCTCAGGGCGCGGTGGAACTGGGATACATAGAAATCGTCCTTGGCCATCGCGAGGACCACATGCGACTGCGGCGCTGGCGGAAACATTTTCCAGCAGGGTGGACAAAATATAAAAAAATGCAGGTTGGTTTGGTCAACATCGTGTTTGAGAGGTATAGCGGCCAAGCGACTTCACTAGCGCGTCATGGTGACGAAGACGTCGAACCTGCATGCTCCATGGAGCTTTTGTGCGTTGAAGCAAAGGACGCACGGTTTGGTGACTCCATAGAGAGAAGTCGTGTTCAAGGCTCACGTGACACACGGCTCGACCATACTCGAACAAGTCGCAGCAGCGCATTTGTGTGCTGCTGTGCACGTGAGAACAAGATGCCGGTTCTTCTCGGTGACGATTGGGCAGTGCATTCGAAGCCCAATGACCGAATCCAGGGCCTGCAGATCGCCCATTGCATGGACTTGCGTACGAAGCGCCGCAAGCACAACGCTGGCCGTCGTCACTTCTCATTGCGCATTTCGTGCATTTGACTTTGGCACAGGACTTGAACCCACAGATATCGAATGCATGGTAGCACGTCATGCCGCCTCGACCGAAGTGGGGAACGACTATGCAAGTCTCCCAAGACGCCCTCGCTCTGACTGACCCGTGTTGCATGGTGAGGCCATGGACTAGCAGTTGATGGCATCCTCTTGGCACTTCAAGCATGCCATGTCAAGGCGACGGTTCAACTGACAAGGGCCCCTGCACTGCTGAGCAAATCCCGCAGATCCTCGTTGTGGCATCACTGGACGGGACTCGGGTGCCTAGCATGGCCACCTGCCTTTCTAGTCAGTTGAGCGGCAAGGCTGAGAGCTTCATATCGAAGCATGCGCTGCAATAGATTTCTTGGAGTACACGGCGCGCCTGCATGGCCGCTGCAAGTGCGAGCGGATAGATCAAAGGCAAAAAGCGTCGACGAGGTAGCGGGGGAAATTGCGCAGCAACACACGCTAGTCCAGGACTAATGCGCACGTTGGTACGTCGATGTCAACGTCGGGTGAAATGGCCATCGTCGATCCGCCCTGCATGGGACCCCGTGCAGCACAAGAACCTCTGGCCCGACCGATGCCTGCCACCGCCCATTTGAATGGAGGTGGTAGCTTGAATGGCGGAGTTGGGGTATCGCCACGCGCAGGACGTAATGCAAAACATATATATTCGTTCGAAACGTCACGGCTGGCGACAAGGTCGGTGGGAGCTGAACACTTCACTGACGGCAGCCGCAAGCGCGCGAGCATCCCTTTCATTCAGTCAAGACTCGCTCTGGACAACACATCGTGTCCATGCAACCATATCAACCACGAGTTTGCGGTCGACGTGGAGCTGTGCCCTTCCTGCTCCGACCACACAATCGAGCGAGGAAGCAGATCAGCGCATCAGCGGCCGCCTAGCCCCTCGTTCTGGAGCCAACCACTTGCTCCAGCTCGAGGGTCTGCAGCAGTCGTACACTTCGGGGAACTCAGGAGAGAAGACGACTGCAGAGTGTCCCCGGTCTTTCGCACCCAAGACCAGAGCCACGCAACAGCGGAACATCGTGTCTTCCCGCAGGCCGTCGTCGACAGCGGAATGTGATCGGCTCGGACACATCGGAATGTGGCAACTTGACGTTCCGGTCTTGACCATCAAATGTTTTTCGTAATGGGTGAGCACCGCCCCGAATTGGCACGGTGCCATCGCGACCGTCGCGACGCATGCCGGCCACAGCAGCGACAACGACGAACTTCTGTGCCCCCTCACAACTGTGCCTCGATGGGCTGCATCGCGACCGCACGACCCGAACGAGCCCACGATCGCGCTTGGACGTGGTGTCGGTTGAGCATGAAGAGCTGTATTTTGTCTGGATGCTCACGACATCTCGGGGGACCCTCGAATCTGGTCAAAACAGCGCATGTCTCCACCAACCATTGCTCGATTCAGACACGTCGGCGCGATTGCCACGTGCGTCCGTTCGCGTCGATTGGGGCGTTGTGCCACCCAGCCATTAGCACCCCGTGTGTCGCGCCGGCCCCTTTCACTTCACACCCCGCATCGGCCAACTCTCCCCCTCGCCGCATCTGGAACCTACCCACGTTGAGATAGTAGCATCGTTAGTACTACTAGACACGGTGTGAGGGGGGTTCGCACAACGCGCTGCCCAGATGGTGCAGACAGGTACTGTACGTGGCCGCGCCATGGGACCAAGTGTTCGCGGGTCGCGGGGAGGGCTTGCCGAATGGAGGGTACAAGGGCTAGCTGCCGCGCGAGAAGAACTCGCCCCGTTTCGTGGTCTTCACGTGGATCAAAATATACACACACAGACTCAAGAATCTGATGTTTCGCAACACGGGGCGAGGTCGAGGATCCCAGAGGAAACCGGGGATGCCCCCCCTGCCCCCAGCCAAGCCCCCCCCGCGCATTTTCACGCCGACATCCACCCAGGGCGACCTCATTCTCGATTTTGTTCGATCGGCCCCAGCATGTCTGTTCCCGTTTCGACGGCGAAGAAGCCCCTCCTTCACGACGACGACGACCACATGCCGGAGTCGTACAAGTCTGTCAACATGAAGAGTGTCCAGGACGCGTATCGGTCGGTGCAATCCCCCCGACACAGCGTGTATAGTACGATCCATGCTGGCAACGGCGTCGAGTCGATGTTGGCCGGCGGGTTGGATCGGTTCTATGAAAAGTACCGCGCGCTGTCGAGCAAGGTGAACCTGCACTTGGCGACGCCGGAAGTCCGCTTCGAGAACTTGAACTACGTTGTCCAAGCGCGCCAGATGACGATGGCCGAGAAGCAGGGGACGGTCGGGTCGTACGTGGGCCGCATGTTCAACCCGTTCAAGAAGGCCGTGTACAAGGAGCAAGTGGTGCTGCAGCCGATGAGCGGCATCATCAAGCCGGGCAGCATGACGCTGATTTTGGCCAACCCCGGGTCGGGCAAGTCGACGTTCTTGAAGGCGCTCGCTGGCAAGTTGGAGCAAAACAAGAAGTGCGTCCAAGGCGGCGACATCACGTTCAGCGGGCTGAAGACGTCCGACATTGACACGAAGAAGATCGTGGGGCTGGTGGA